ATCAATGACAACCATCTTTCCAGCACCCTCAATGTGCCTAGGAATCAGGGTGTCCCAGGGCAGACAAGGCAATGCCTTTCAATGCTTCCCCTTGCAAAACATATGGGTTCAGTCTTAGAGGGTCAGCGTTACAAGAAGCAGCAAAATCCCCTTCCTCTTATTGCCCTTTCTGCCAAAGAGAACGGCGTCCTCTAGGGTTCTGATTGTGCCATACCTCTCTGGATCCTCAAAACAAACAAAAATCCCACTCTAAGGTGAGAGGAGTGTCTCCGCTGGAAGGGAAGAGAATGGCTAGAAGGAAGCATTCTGTGGGTTTCTGGGCTTGGGTTCTCAGGGGGTGTCCCTGAAGTTAGGGGACCCTGGGTTTCCTCGGGTCTAAAAGGGGCAGGGCAGCTGGATTCCCAGGAGTTCTGATATCCCCAACTCTTGGAAGAGCAAGGCCAGGGACCGGGGTATCTAGGCATTGGGGTTTAGAGGGAGTGAGGGCACTGGAGCCCAGAGTTTTGGTGAGGCAGTCCCTGAGTTCTGGGAAGACCCAACCAGGAATCTCTCAGAACCCTAACGCGAGTTCTCGAGGTAGGATCCGGGTTTCTGGCGAGAACGCTGGGGAATAGGCGCGGGGCCGCGCGGTGGGGGAAGATACCAGGGGCTCTGACTACCTGAGCGGCGCGGGACCGTGGGTGGCCGGGGCAGGCCCGGGAGGCCCTGGGGCCCCGGGAGGGTCGCACAACGCGGACATCCCGGAGCCCTAGCCGGAGCCCGAGGCGGGAGCGGCGAAGCGCAGGCAGCGCATGCGCGCTGACGGGAAACCTGAAAGGAACGAGCGGCGAGGCCTCTCAAGAAAACCAATCCGGTGACGCCCGCGACCCTCTTACATTAGTTCCGCCCGTGCCGAGGTCCAAGGGCAGGATTAGGATGACAGCCAGGAACGGACCCGCCCCCAATACAACCGCCTCTTCACCTCCGCCCCCTATAAGGCCATTGATAGACGAATGCTAGCTGCTGCCATTCACAATTGACTTCAGGTATTTTTTTTCCAAAGCCCAAAATACAAAATATTTGACTTCACGAGGTTTTAACAAAATGAAGCACTAGGAAACGTTTTATTCAAGAGGCAGCCCAGGCTCATGTGGCTCAGTGGATTGAGTGCCGGCTTGCAAACCAAGTGGTCGTGGGTTCAATTCCCACTCAGGGCATATGCCTGGGTTGTGGGCCTGGTGCCCAGTTGGAGCGGTGCAAGAGGCAACCACACATCCATGGTTCTCTTCCCCTCTCCCTCCCTTCTACTCTCTCTAAAAATAAATAAATAAAATCTTAAAAAAGAAACAAAGAAACAGTGACAATGTAAAAAGCAGTTAAGGGAGCAAAGGGCAATGGGGAAAGCAAAAAAAAAAAAAAAGAGAGAGAGAGAAAATTCGTGTGAGAAGATGAAGAGAAGGAAAGTAAGGAAAGTAAAGAGAGGAGGGAGAGGAAGCCTGAAATAAATTGGGCTGGCTAGGCTGAAGGTGTCTTCCCAGTTCTAGGTTGGCCCTATAGTTCTTCTGTCAGTCTCTATTATTCAGGCTTTGCTGCCTCCTCCAACTCCCAGTACCTTCCTGTACCTCACATCTCCATACCTGCAGAGAGGAAGCTTGGTAACTATGTACGAAGCTAGCACATCTCATCAAGATCCCCACTCCAGCCAGTCTATCTAAATCCCAGCTATTCCACTCACTGGCTGGGTACTTTACTTAGCCTTTCTATGACTGTTTCCTCTTCTGGAGATGAGGATGGTAATAGTACAACTACCTCACAGAGTTGTTGTGAAAATTGAAACCAGGTAATATAGTAAGGTAATATAATAACTTTATATAAGTAAGTAAGTAATTATATAAGATTAAATAAGTAAGGTAATATAATAAACCAGGTAATATAATAAGAATTAGCTATTTTTTTTATTATATTTGTTGAATGAACGCCAGAAAATAAGCTCTTTGAAAACAGTTTAGGGCCTTTGCCTATTTTGTTAAAGGCTATTGTCTTCATCACCTATAACAGTATCTGCCTGGCACTTAGTAGGTTTTAAATAAATAGTTGGTTAAATAAGTGAAAAAGAAAGTAGGTTCTGAGACCTGTATTAGAAGGCTCACTATTCTCAATGGAGGGGAAAGTTAGAATAACACCAGACTGGGGGGGAAAATAATAATAACACCAGATGGCATGTCCTAAACATACTTTTGAAGTGATTGTTTTAAGACTAAAAACATGCAGTGGGGTAAAAAAATAAATAATTGAAAGACTAATTATCCTTCATTTTTGTTCTTAAGTTTTATTAGTTCAATTACTCCCAAAGTGCATATACTACCTGCTAGCAAGAACTGTTCTACGACAGTAAATATGAGACAATATCTGCTCCTAGTTCTGCCTCAAACTTGGACCCAACATTTCCCTATTCTGAGCCTCAACTTTCGATCGGTGAAAGGCGGCTTTGAATCAGACACGTTCTTCCAGCTATGGGACTATTATGTGGTCCTTCCTCTGAAGGATTTCACATTGTAACAGAGCTTCTTTTGGAGTTAGATCTGGATTCATGCCTGGTATTTATTAGCAGTGTAACCCTGAGCCAAGTGATCCAGCTCTTTGGAGCTCGTTTTTTGATCTGTAAAATAGGCATGCCGTCTCCTCTCACAGACATTTTGCAAAGATCACTTGAGATCATTTATGTAAAGGACTTAGCATAAGGCCAGACACAGAAATTCTTCATAGCAAGCTGTTTCCTGCCTGAGACACAGAGAGAACAAAATTATGAAGGATAGGCTTATTGAGATGTTGAATATGTCTTTCCTTCTCCCTCCTAAATCCTCCTCTCCTCTCTTTATGGCATCTGAATACAGTTCATTCTCAAACAAGTACTTTTTCTTTCTGTGTTTAAAACTGGACATAATACTGTTCCCCTGGGAAAATGGCTGATTTCAAATTTTAGGCCAGGATAAATAGTAGGGGAGGCTGACACTTTTCATTGTGCCAGAAAGCAAGGAAATGCTTGATACTGATGGTGTCGTGTCAAAAAGCCATCTTGAAAAGGCTTCTGCTGGTCAAGTTTGGTACGATTTTGAGCGTGAAAAATAGGAATGGGTTATAACACATTGAAAAACAATCTAAATCCATAGCGATATTAAAAATAGAAGGGAGAGCCCTAACTGACACAGCTCAGTTGGTTGAGCAAAGCAAAGCAAAAGGTTGCTGGTTGATTCCTAGTCAGCGCACTGTCTAGGTTGCGGGTTCAGTGACTGGTTGGGGTGCATATGAGATAGGCAAGGGATCCATGTTTCTTTCTCACATCAATGTTTCTTTCCCTCTTTCTTCCTCCTTTCCCTTCGGTCTAAAAATAAATAACTAAAATCTTTTTAAAAAATAAATAAATTAGGAGGGAGGGAGGGTTTTCTTTATCCTCCAGAATATGTCAGACGAATTAATACAAATGAATGATAGAATTAGAAAATCACCATTTTGCAGCAGTAGCTAATTCAGGTAAAAATAACCATTGATGCTGAAACCATTGGGTCGCTGGGGAATAAGGCATTCATATAATCTCAAGTATCACTCCATAGATTTCTTATTAGTTACAAAGGGAAAGGATACCTTAACAGTGGAGAAATCTGACAGACACCCACTTAACCAAGACTCTACCAAAAGACTCTACCAGACAAACTGGTGTTACGTTCAAGCTGACCCTTGAATGCGGCGGTTAGAGGCACCGATCCCTCCCCAGACACACAGTAAAAAATCCTGATTTAACGTTTGACTCCCCTCCCCCACAAACATAATAACCTGTTGACCCGAAGTCTTACCAGTAACAGTCGAGTAGCACATATTTTGTATGCTATATGTATTATATATTGTATTCTTACAATAAATAAGGCTGAGAAAAGAAAATGTTAAGAAAATCATAAGGAGCCCTGGCTGGGTAACTCAGAGCATCTCCTCAATTTGCCAAGGTTGCAGGTTCGATCCCAGGTCAGGGCACATACAAGAATCAGCCAATGAGTGCATAAGTAAGTGGAACAAAAAATCGATGTTTCACTCTCTTCCTTCATCTAAAAATCAATAAAAAATTTTTAAAATAGAGAATCATAAGGAGCTCAGTGACAGGGGTGAGGGAAGGATTGAACAAAAAAAGGAAGAAAAAACTGGATCCAGACAACAGTGTGGTGATTGTGGGGGGTCGGGGTGAGGTGGATGGGATTGATAAATTGTGGTGGACAGAGACTTGACTTGGGTGGTGAACACCCAAGTGTACAGATGGTGTTGGGGAATTGTGCACTTGAAACCTGTATGATTTTGATACCCAGTGTCACCCCAATAAATTCAATAAAAGAAAATCATAAGGAAAACACCTCTACAGTATTTATTGAAACAGAACTACATACAGTGGACCCATGTAGTTTAAACCCATATTGTTTAAGGGTCCACTGTACTTCCTGATGTAATGCAATGGAAAATAAAATCACCTATGTAGAATTTCCCCCCAAAATGGTTAACCTAAACCTAATTATGAGGAAACATACAAAAACATTCAAACCCAGGTTGTAGGACATTGTTAAAAAAATAATTAGGCTGAACTCTGCCAAAAACACAAGGACATCTAAGACCAGGTAGTACACTGTTCTTAGTACACAGCTATAAAGAACTTTATTGGAACAACTGAGGAAATTTGAATATGAAAAACTGAATATTAACTATTTTACTAGTGTTAAGTCTTTGTGTGATAACAGCATTTTTGTTATACAGCCTATAGCAAAATTTACGGATGGAATGTCATCTGCAATTGACTTTCAAATGAGTCAGCAAAGAGAACAAAGGTACATATTCATACACATTAAGTATTTGCAATGTGTAGAAAGAGATAAAACAAGTGAAAAATGTTGAAAATGGGTAAATCCAGGGAGAATGCATATATTAAGGGTCCACCGTACTAATCTCTTAACTTCACTAAAAGTTTGAGTACTGATCTCTTAAGTTCATTGGAAATTTGATATTATTCAAAATGTAAAGTTGCAACACTAGGCCCCAACCCTTTCTCTTCCAGGACTAGCATGCAGATTAAATAGGACACAGAGAATATGCTCTTCCCTGAACACACCTCCGCACAGGCAGCTTTTCACGTTAATTAAACAACCCCGCTCTGGCTTCCAACAGAATTTCTGAAAATTAAAAGGGAAAAATAATGTTTGCTCTTCACTTTATTAAAAATATAATCCAGCAAAGGAAGCATGTGACAAACATGACTTAAAGTGACTTGCCCGCCCTGGTCACGCAGAAGCAGTGGCAGAGCTGGTATCAGGACCCTTACCGCCTCTGCCATCTCTACAATAATCAAAGTCTCAGTCAGAAATGGAAAGTTAAGAGTGTCACTCACTAGAGACCAGGCTGTCTCAGAGGCTGGCTTCTTGATGCTTTTGCTCAAGAACACTCTGTGGTCCCCTTTCCCGGCTGCCTTTTTCCACACTCACAGACCCCTGGGCATGGCCCATCCCCATCCCTACATTTAATCACACACATGTCAGTAAGACCTCTAGAGTTTTATTTCAAATGCAGCTGAGTGCTAAGAAGCCCGCTCTCCTGAAAGAAATAAATAAAAATTACAGAAAAAAAAAAAAAAAGAACAAAGCGGCCTCTCTGATCTTTTCCATTCTTCCTTTCAACACATCCTTCCATGGCAGGTCACCAGGCCATTATGAAAAGGAGTCTGGGAAGAGTGAAAAGGTGCAATGTTTATTCCAAACTGTCCTGCAATAACCACTGAGTTCTGGCTCCAGCTGAGAATCTTCCAGTGAAAGGGGTAAGATTTAGCTCCCTTCTTCAAGGTCCTCCATGTCTACATCATGGGGGGCTTTGGTCTTCTTTTGAGATTTGGGCTGTGGTTCACTAGTCCTGGCTGGCTTTGCAGAGGTTTCCACTGAACAAAGAGAAAGAAATATTGAAGAACCCAAGTGGATCCAGGCTGCCCCCTTACCCCCCACCTCTGTGTCCCAGCCTCACCCTCCATAGCTGCTTTCTCTTTCTGGGCAAGCCGGATCTGCTGGAGGAGTTTTCTGCGCTTCTTCCCAGACAGTGTAATGTTGGCACGTGAACTGGACCTGAAGGGTTGGTAGGAGCAAAGATCCAGGTTAACCTGAACCAACACAAACCACAGAAGCGGTGCTAGCTATTGAAAAGGTCTTCAGATCCACATCAAAGAACTGTTTGAAAACCAAGGCTCTAAGGGAGTGAGTTTAAAATGAACACATAAAATATTTAACATTAAATGTTAAATTTTAGTATATTGTAGAAACTTCTAAGGGAAAACTATTTTTCTCTATTTTTCATACTTCTGACATCAGATGTCAGGGTGGTGGGGGGTGTTCTCACAACAAACAATTCTCCAATTCTCAGCAGACATTAACATAGTGTCCTACAAATTTAATTCAATTCTGACATTACCTACCTGGAAATAGCATGTTGTCACCTGTACTTCTGACCCACCTGCTATAACTCAGGGTTCTCATCCCTTTTTCAGACTCCATAATGTGCTAGAATAGCTCACAGAACTCAGGGAACATTCACTTGCATTTACTGATTTATTATAGAAGGATACAATTAAGAACAGGGAGATGGAAGAAAAGAATAAGGCAAGGTATGAGGAAGGGGCCAGAAGTTCCTTTTTTTTTTCTTTCCCTTTTTCTAGATTTAATCTTTATTGAATTTTTTTTTTTTTTTCTTTCCTATTACCGTTTAGTCCCCTTACACCTCCCTCCACTGCAGAAGTTTCCAGGCCCTCTCCCGGTGAGATACCTTCTCAGCACCTCCACCAATTCACCAACCAAGCTCATTGAATCTGTCGTTTAAGCGTTTTCACGGAGTTTAAACACCAGCACCCCCACCTGCTCCTACCCCACCTCCTAGAGGTCGAGGGCAGCGAGAAGGGGTGAGGCTTAAATCTTACAATCCTCTAATCAACGGGTTTTTCTGGTGACCGGTTCCACCCTGTCACTCATTAGCATAAACTTAGGTGTGCTCAAAAAGGGCTCCTAAGTAAAATACACTCCTATTCCTCTGAGGGTTTTAGAAGCTTTGTGCCAGGAACCAGGGACAAAGATCAAAAAAACTTCTTATTGTAAACTTCAAATATTGATAAAGAAGAAGTCAATGAAAGGACGGGATGGGAACTTTTCCCCAAGACTCAGGGGCCCCTGAAACTTATATGCAAAACCCCACATGTGCCTCTGAAAATTCATCTAGTTGTATGCACACTTCCGTGTGCGTTTTAAAATTTACTTATAAAAATCTGTTAATGTACATAGATGGGAAAGTCGACAGCTCCCCTTAAGATTCTCAGTGAGGACCAAGGCTCTAAGAAAGGTTGTAAGCTACCGGTATAGTGAGACGCTAGGAGTTTAGGCACAAAACCAGCAGACATCCCTTCTTGTATAAACGCGAGTGAAAAAAAGACGCAGAGAGGTGCCAGCTGCTCCGGAGCTCGGCAGGAGGAAGAGACTCCCTGGGGAGGACCCAGGGGAAGAGGGCCTGACACTCACGCCCGCTTCTTGAGGTGGTGCCGCGTGATCAGCCCTTCGTCTATTACAGCCCCGACCACGCGGTGCTTCAGCCGCCGCTCCCGGGTCAACACCCGCCGTCGCTTGAACAGTTTCTTCTTCAGCTCCTGCAGGGAAGGAAGATGCTAATCAGACGGAGGCCGCGCGCCGCGACGCGGGATTCCCGCACCCGGCGACTCTGGCCTATCGATCCCATCTTGGGCAAGACTAGAGAGCTCCGGGGCGCTTCGGAAACAGAGTCAGCGCTCCCACACAGTCACCGTTCGGGGCCGATTGATCTTCCCTCCGGGACCAGCCATGGCTGAGCAGTTTTCCCGGCTTCAGGTCCGCATATCCGCTCGACGCAGGGCGCGTATCTGGCTCCGCCCCTCGTTCCTCCGCCAGCCAATTGTGGCTCGGGGGCGGGCCCTGCTGCTATATAAAGAAGCTCAGCGGGTTCCTTATCCTTTCGGAGGACGGCCGCAAACTGAGGACGGGCGCCGATGAAGTCCGGTATTACTTTGGCAACCTGGCGTGTGACGGTTTTCGGCGGGGCTTGCGAACCCTCCTCTTCTTGGCGGGGGTCGGGCGTGTGGTCCCGGTCCCTGTAATGTATGGAGGCAGAGGGAAAGGGCTCCGGCCCCCTCGGCGTCATGTCTTCGGTGCCGACGGTTTCCAGTCCGCCGGTTCTATCCTCAAGCGCCGGGACACGCGTCTCCAAGAAGCAGGGCAGAACCTAAGTTCTGCGGGCAGCTCCCTACAGTACGGAGTACTCATGCCTTCTTTTGTTTCAGGTCTGCGAAGCCGACCCAGGACCCGGAGCTATCGCGTCCCCCTCCTTTTCCACTCCCGTTGCATCCAATAAAGGCCGTACCCGTTGTAAGTGTGTGTGTGGCCGTGTGCTTTTTTCCGAGGCTGCAGAGTTAGGCCGTACGCGTTATTCCAGAAAGCGCATTTTGCAGATCTTGCGGATCTCCTCTTGAATCTCAGGCTTCTGTGGAAGAGCGGGCGATACTTCGCAGAAGGTTCTGTTTGACCTTGCCGGCACTTCCGGATGGCCGCGCTGCGCCGAATCCTACACTGGGCGACCCTGGCTGCGGGAACGCGCTGCGCCATGGCGGGTAGGACAAGAGTCGGGGAGGGCAAACGGTTTCTTGGTGACCCGGCAGTCTACTCCCTGTAGCGTGGCTCTTAAAAGCTCAGGTTACTTTACGCTGTTTTTACAGCAGTTTGATAGAACTCGGGCGCCGGATGACACAAGCCTTCCACTCGTCCACAGGCTCCCTGGCCGGTAGCTGCCTGGCGGACCGCTGCCTCTGGGATAAGCTCCACGCGCAGCCCCGTCTGGGTAGCGTCCCCACCTTCGACTGGTTCTTTGGGTACGAGGAAGTCCAGGAGCTCCTACTGCCACTGCTGCAGGGGACCCAGGCTGCCTGTCCACTGCGGGTGTTAGACGTGGGCTGTGGGACCTCAAGCTTGTGTACAGGCCTCTACACCAAGTGTCCACACCCTGTGGACGTGCTGGGGTTAGACTTCTCTCCTGTGGCTGTGGCCTACATGAACAGCGTCCTGGAAGGTGGCCAAGGTCGAACACCTCTGTGCCCTGGGCACCCTGCCTCCCGCCTCCACTTCATGCAGGCTGATGCCCAGAACCTGGAAACAGTGGCTTCTTCTGGCTCCTTCCAGCTAGTACTGGACAAGGGCACCTGGGATGCCGTAGCTCGGGGTGGTCTGCCTGGGGCTTACCAGCTGCTGTCAGAATGCCTGAGGGTCCTAAGCCCAAAGGGGACCCTGATTCAGTTTTCAGATGAGGACCCAGATGTGCGGCTTCCCTGCTTGGAGCAAAGATCCCAAGGCTGGACTGTGACTGTGCAGGAGATCGGCCCTTTCAAGGGCATCACCTACTTTGCTTACTTGGTTCAAGGCTCCCATTAAAGACTTAAGTCTTGACCCTACAGTTTTTGTTGGGTGGGGAGAGGTGGAGAGAGCTTTGCCTTTTCAAGATGGCTGGAAAATGAAGATTTCAGTCCTGCCTTCCACATTTACTGGGTAGGTGCACACAGTATTGACGGTTTCTGTGCCCCAGTTTACTCATCAGCAGGGTAGGGATAATACCTGGAGTTAGGGATTACATACAATGACAGCTGAAACATGTAGCAGTACCAAGCAAAGTGAGTGCTAGGTAGAGAAGATCTAAGTGGATCATTCCCCACCCCCAGCTAACTGGAACTCCCAGAAACAGCAGATAAGAATTAATCCAAACCCAGTGGCTTATCCTCTAAGCCCATTTCCCTACCTGTAAAAGGGGAAGATTGTGAAAGGATGGGTAAAATTGCTCCATGAACAAGCCTAGGTGAAATGTTAAAGGAGAGAGAACAAACAATACTTACCCTCAAAGCTCCTGGGAGGCAGGAGTTGGGGGTATTCCACAAATTGGCTTCTGCAGACACGGAAGCCTGTTGGATCCCAGGGAGGACTGGGATCTGGTTCTTCCTGACCCTCTGTGTCCTCGGGAATCCAGGAGGCATCCTGCTCTATCTGTTCCTGCCCCCAGCTGAGTTCTGGGTTAATGGTTCTTAAGGGAGATCTGGGGTCCAGTGGGCTCCAGGTCCAGCCTGGGTGGGGGGAATGGAGTTTAAGAGCCCATTGACAGTGAAAAATATTCCAGATACATTGAAGTTTTTTTAACATAAAATTAACTTGTGATACTTGTTTCACTTCAGATCAAATAAATGTTTTGCCTTTTACTAAACAAAACATGAAATTCTGATTTGTGCTTATAAAAAAGTAATAATTATAATGAAAAGCCTAACTTCATGGCCTCAGTTTCCTCTAGAGGGGAAAAGTATCTCTCATTGGATTCTGAAAATCTTGAGGTAAAAGTGTTTATAGTACAGTGCTTGGCACATAGTAAATGCTCAAAGAAAAAAAAGTATAACAGTATATAGACATGGCAAAATATCTGCAAAAGAAAACATCCCAATGTTAACTCTGGGCAGGCAGATTTGGGGTAATTTTATTATGTTTTCCCCATAACAAACTAAATATTTTAAAATACTAAAAGTACATATTAAAAGGCATGACCTATCCAACATCAGAACTGCTCTCTAAAGCTCAACGGTGGCAACCACCTTGAACTCTCCCATCTCAACATTTTCCTTGACTATGTTTACTGAGCATCTGTGTGCCTGGCACTGCTAATGCAAGTGACACAACTGAGTTTTCCATTTGGGTCCTGCCCAGAACTTCCAGGTCACAAGGGCCCCGTTGAACCTCCCTCACCTGGCTCTTCACTGTGGTCCTGGAGGAAGACCTGGGCCTCTTCTTTCTCATCATCAGTGAGCAACAGCAGCTCCTCATGCGGCCACCGGCGCTCCCCACTCTCTTCACTTACCTCAGAATCTTCCACCACAGTGGAGGACAGATGGGTCTTTTGAGAGACAACCTGCATGGGGACAGCAGGGGTCTTGGGCTAAATTAGAGGATGGGCCGGCAGCAGGACACAGGGTGGGGAAATGCTAACCTGAACATCCTGGTGACCTTCATCTCTGTCCATTTCTTTTCTGTCCTTCCAGAGAGGGTTGGTCAGCTGAGGACTTTCTGGATGCCAGGAGGAGCCTGGGCTCTCTTTAGGCCGGGGCCTGCCCTCACTGCTGCCTGGCACAAGGTCCATGGCTGCTGATTTTTAGTGTGCAGAGTGGTTGAACTCAGAGTTCTGAACCACCGCGCAGTTGGGTTCAGACTTCTTTAATCTTCTTTGGAGACTGGCTCCCTAATCACTTCTGAGGAGAGCAGGTTGACAAGCTAGGAGATTATCAGCCTTCCTGGGGAGGGGGAAATCCCCAGACTGGGATAAAAACTTCGTTTGTATTCATTCCCTGGTGGTAGTATGGATGTCAACAAGAGCATCGGGTTAAAGCCCTGTGAGTGAAGAGCCTTGATAACAAACTTGTAACTTCCTGATTCCTTTGCTTGCTGGGTTTCCCAAGTGGGCCCATTTCCCTCTATCTTTTTAATGAATATTTATATGGTGTTTACTATTTGCCAGAAACTGTACTATGAGATAGATACTGTTATGAGCTCCATTTTACAATGCAAAAACCAGGGCACAGAACTTAAGTGACTGTCCAAACACAACTAAGGTGTTTACTTCTCCAAACTGGAATATAGTCTGTTATACAAAACTAGAGTTTTCATGAATAAGGGTATACCATGATGAGAAATTTAAAAAGCTTTTTTTTATTTAAAGTTTTTTTTATTGATTGTTAGAGAAAGAGAGAGAGAGAGAGAAACAGTTTGTTTTTCCATTTATTTGTACATTTGGTTGAATCTTGTATGTGCCCTGAACTGGGATCTTGGCATATTAAGATGATGCTCTAACCAACAGAACTACCCGGCCAGGGCTTAACGAGTTTACTTTTAACAAGTTTATTAACAAGTAAGATAAAGAAATTTATAAATACACCCATTTCCACACCTAGTACGCTTGGCTTTGAGTTTTTGTTCAGGAGTTGAAGAGACTGAGGAGGATCCATAGACGAATTGATGTGTCCAAGTATCTGGATGTCCACTATGTTTATTGAAACAGCGCAAGTTACTGTAGGAAACCACAGAGCACAGCCCTAGCCTGTCTCCCTCCCACCCCCACCCCCACCCCCGTTTCCCACCCTGGCCTTCTGTTGATGAGTAAATTTCAGAACGGGACAGTTAGTTATAAAACCCACAGTAACCACGAAGACACGCATTTTCTGCCACGGTCTTGTAGTTCAGTATGTTAGAGCGTGTCTGATACTCCAGGGTTGCAGGTTCGATCTCTGGTCAGGGCACCTACAAGAAGTGACCAATAAGCCCTGGCCGGGGTGCTCTGTGGGTTGGAGTGTCATCCACACTCCAAGGGGTTGCAGGTTCCATTCCAAGTCAGGGCACGTGACTTGGCCTCCATGCCCAGTCGGTAGGGTGCTGACGGAAGGCAACCCATGGATGTTTCTTACATGGATGTTTCTCCCTCACTTTCCCTTCCGCTCTTTCTAAAATCAATTAAAAAAATAAACATCAGCTGGTGAGGATTTTTTAAAAAACAACCAATGAATGTATAAATAAGTGGAACTACAAATCGATGCTTCTCTCTCTAAAACTGAAAAACAAAACAAAACACGTACTCCCACTCCGTACTTCAGGACAACGGGCCCGCTCTCGGCCTTCAGTGCCAAAACCTTTCTGGCAGCTTAACCTCGGCCAAATCTAGAGTTAAGGCCCAGGCACTCCAGATTCTAAACGTTTCCTGATCGGTCCTCTCTAGCCCGGCCCTTCTCTATGGTGTCTGCAGTGGGTCGCTCTAGCCTGCGCAGGAGGCGGTGAGACCCGGTGTCGACCTTTCTACGTTGCGGGAGACTGCGGAGGTCGCCTCGGTCCGGTGCGGTCGGCTATGGGGTCCTTGCGTAGAGCGCTCATCGCAGTTGCAGTAGTGGGTGCGTGGGCTGGCTTGGGCTCCGCACTCTTTGTCCTCGTGACCCCGGGAAAGGAGCGAGTTCAGGCGATGCTGAAGGTGGGGGCAATGGAGATGGGGTGGGTGGGCCGGCGGAGAGCGTGGGGCGGGTCGGAACTGTGAACCTCTCTCCTGGCCCGCAGGAGATGCCGGGGCAGGACCCGCGGAGCAGGGAAGAGGCGGCCGGGACCAAACAGTTAGTGCTGGCCACTCTGCAGGAGGCAGCTGCCACGCAGGAGAACGTGACCTGGAGGAAGAACTGGATGAGCGGCGGGAAGTCAGCGTGAGCCGGGACCGAACCGGTGGGTTCTGGGCGCTCCGTTCTGGTGCTGGAGTCCGAGGCGGCCTTTGTCTTTCACGGACCTGGGGGGCAGCCCGGGTTGGGGAGCTGCCGCCGAGTGAGCACGTTCCCCCCAAGCCCTGCAGTGACTGCGCGTTCACCTTATCGCTGGCCAGCGTCATCGGACTTGGCGAACTGACGGAACCAGTAAATCATGTCCCTCCATCCAGCGAGTGAGCGCTGTGCCGTCTGACGCCTGTAAATGTCTAGTGTTCTGGGGGTCGGTTCTGCGGGCGGGAATGACTGCGGCTCCTGCCTGCCCTGCTCCCCACGTGAGGCCGAAGCCCAATAGGCACAGCGACCATGTTTTCAAAACACAAGTCGGGTCATGTGATCTGTTTGAGTGTACTTTGGGGACATTCTTGAAATCAGAACTATACTGGAAAATCTTGGAGCAGCAGAGGTACCCATTGAGGACACTTTAGGTTCCTGTCCTCCGAGGGAGGTTAGAGTGGGGCTTCTAGCACCTAACGTGCCAGACGTCTCCTGTGGCCATAATTTAGCATTTGGAACCCATTTGTTTGAAGTAGTGAAAGCGTGATTTGAGTTAGGTCCTGATTCAATTCCATCATGTTACAAAACCTCTGAGCCTCAGTCCTGTTCTATAAAAGGTAGTAATTATCTTAAGGGCTGTCCTCTCAGTAAATAGTGGGGCTTTTCCCCCTCAAGGTTTTTACTGTAGTACTTTTACATTTCTGAGTCCAATCACAGGATCTACTGGAAATGCCACTGAAGGGATAAGACAAAGTGATCAGTGAGGTAATAACCCCATAGGCAAATCTGTTGCTTTTGTCTATTTTATATCCTTGAAATAGGAAAAAGGCTATTTTTCATTAACTAAACTTAGCCAGACCACTAAATACACTGAGGTATAAACCCAGATACAAGAATTGGTTTATACCTGTTCTCAGCTGCTGGATGGTGAAGTTGTATGCTGCATACGTCATGTATGACCATCACAGTTTAATTGTGGTCCTTTCCGAGGTGAGGAATGAGAGGTTTGAGGGAGCCCTAGGCTGCGAGTGTCAGCGGCTGTGTGACAGGCTCTGATGAAGATGTTGGGCAGTTCAGGGCCTGACCCCTAGAGTTGGGCTCCCCAAGCGTGTCCCGGATCCATATAACCTGTGTCAGGTGGGCTAAGTCATATGGTTCAGTGTCCCAGTCTTTCAGATGGGATAGTTGTACCTATTTGTAGCTAATAGTGCCTTCGTATCTCAGTTAATGCATAAAAAAGTCCTTTAAAATGCATGGGACATACTAAGTTTTCAATACTTTTTAGTGTAGAAAAGATGCAGTTGTGAAGGTCACTCATGTTCCTCAACATTTAAGAATGGCCACATAAAAAAACTACCCTTTTGATAGCTAGTAATTACTGGGGACTGATTTGGTTCCAGGCACTGTGCTAAAGCACCTTTTATCTGCATTGTGTAACTCCACAACAACCCCAGCTGACACGTACTGTCATCTCTATTTTACTAAAAGGAAAGTAGGCTTAGAAAAGCCAAGGCACACAACTAATAAGGGTTTTGGGCTTACGCACTGTCTTACCCACAGGAGCGAAAGGTGCTATCCTCTGTACTTCCCACCCCCACTACCTCTCCCCCTTCAACTTCCCAGCAAGCCAATCAGACCTAGAGATTAGAAACAATTCTCTGTTAAAAATGTTAAGAGGAGTAGTATCTATCCTAAAAGCATTCCCTTTAGATTCTTCCTCTGCGTCAGCTCGGTCCCTCCCAGCCACTGAGGAAGGAGTCCAGCATATAGAGAACTCAGAAGGTCTATTTATTAGGAAGGAGATGTCAGTGCTTTATCAAAGATGAAGAGGTCAGATAAGGATGGTGGCATAAACGCCTCTCAGCTGGGACATTTCTTGGCCACAATGAGGACAGCAGAAGGCACAAGTCCTGAAGGTGGAAGAAAAACAGGTTTAAACCACACATACCTGCCTTTTGTCCCCCCAAATTCCTGGCCTCACAGCCTCTCTACCAAGTCCCTTTTCCCTGCATCCCTTCCTTTCTCAGGTACGTCCCCTATCACGCCCACGTCCTGCTTCAGGCCCCACGTGCCATCATACCCAGCTCCTGCAGAGGCCGCTCCATGTCAGCCTCGGAGAAGGCCCGCCGGGGGAATCCACTGAGCAGCTGCACAGGGTCCCGGGCCCCTCCAGGTTCCTCCCCTCGGTGAAGCTCCACGTAGAGCCTAACAGCTGCCAGCTGTTCCCGTGCCCGGAAGGTCTGGGTCAGCGAGGTCCCATCTGGCAGCCTGACCTAGAGGACAAGTGAAAGGCTGTGGTGAGTGTCACAACTGAGCGAGGTGCCCAAGTAAGGAAAAGAAGAGCAAAGCTTGCTCCTCATTTCTTCTCACTGAACCAGCATAACTGCTATTAAAAACACGTAATAAACAACCACTTAGGCTCTGCTTTACCAAGTATTGAAGAGAGAGACACCCCCCTGTTCCCTCACAATCTAAAAAAGACAAAGGCAACATTACACAAAACTACCTGGATAAATACCTCATCATAAATGAAAGTTAGCTTTGCAAAGAGCTGTGTAATAAACCCAATGAACACATAAATAAGTGAAGAGGTCATTGCTGAGTAAGAGGGAAATAGGGATTTAAATAATATTGGGCAAGTGAAATTTGATCTCTTTTCAAAGACTAGACTGGATAGGATTTCAAAAGTCATTTACAAAGAAGGGAGAGGTTTGGCAGAGGAAACATAACTGAAAAAAGCTCTGGGCTAGGTGCTTCCGAGACCAAGAGAAGGGTCCCTGGGGCAAGAAGCACCAGATCAGTACCTGTATGCGACACTGGTCATACTCCCGCTTGGTGGGAGGCTCCTGGCTGGGGGAGGAGGGAACAGGTCCTGGCTCTGTTGGTGTGGATGGCTGGGAACTCACATTACCACCATACTGGAGGACAAAGGAAAACACTGGATCAGGCACTCGCCCACCCTCAGGAGAAACACTGTAAGCCCATCCTTTCCCGCTGATGCCGAAAAATGGATTTATTAGCTCTACCTACTCAATTACTCAGCGTCTTCCCAGTCACCTACCTTCTTGGCTCTCTCTGCTTTGTCTCTTTCAATCTTTTCTCGGACTCTTTGCCTGAAATGCGGATAGAAAGTAGGTCAGGTGTTGAGAAAGCAAATGGTGATTCCTTTCGCATCCCGTATCTAACACCCTCTGCACCAGACCTGGCTGCTAACTCCTCAGCCTTTTCCCGCCTCCGCTCCTCCGCAGCCCTGCGCATCTCATCTTCCTGTAGCCGCTGTCTGGCAGCTGACAACTCTTGCCCTTGTCTCCTGCGCTGCCGTTCCCGTTCCAGTGCCTCCCGCTCCTCTCTTTCTTCACGTTCTCGCTGTTTCTGGGCCACCAGCTCCAACATCCTGTATTGCAAAAAGGAAAAAGCTCAAGAGAAATGAACATGGGTTGGGAAGGGACTCAGAAAACATAATCACGGACTGTGTGTCCCAAGAGATGGGAAAAAAAAAAAAGGGAAATGCCAGGAGAAGACAGAGGGGATGTGAAAAATTCGAGGTTCTCTGATCAGACTGTGTACTGGGGAGACGGGAAGGTGACCCTCAAATATGGAAGATTGTTCCTTACCTCTTAGTCTGTTCCTGTCTTTCCTCTTCACTCAAGGTGGGTTTGCCTTCTTCCGCAGTGGACCCAGGTCCTACAAACAAGTGATCGGTATTATTATCCGTTCATCCTCCTCGGGCCCTCCTGAATAAGCACGCCGTGTCCCTCAGTCAGGACCTTCTGGGCCTCCTTGCTCGGAGGAGGTGGGTTCCCGTCCTAGGATGTGGCCAAGGGGGGTCGCTAGCGGCTCGTCCACATCGGGGTCGTCTTCGTGCTCCATCAACCTGGCAGAGAAAGTCGGGAGGGAAGTCAACGTTGAGGCTGCCCCTCCCAGTCCCCAGTCCCCTGCCACCCGGTGTGAGCGCTCACCAGTCCATCGCGGCCTCGATGCCCTGGTTCCCTGTGAGGGCCAGAGCCTTCTCCCTGGGGGCAGAAACACCGTGAATAGCGCCCACGAGCCATGATGACGGTCAGGTTGGGGCGTAGAGCCTGAGGCCAGGCTGGGGGAAAGGCCCGGACACGTCCGCGACCCCCGCGGGCCGGGGTTAGAGGGGCTCCCTTACGCGCGTCCCCTGGGGAAGCCCATCTCGATGAGACTCTCCAGAGCCGTCAGCTCCGCCATGACGCCGCCAACGCCGCCTCCGCGGGGACCTGGAGGGACGAGGAGGGCGGAGGGGGTCAGCGCGGGACGCCCTCGGCCCGCGAGCAATCCCGCCTCCTACGGTCGAGACCCAAGCGTTCGCTCACTCACCCGACTGCGGACCCGCCGCGGACACCGATGAGAAGAAAGCGGAGGGGAAGCGGAAATGCCCAGATCTGTTTGGGTCACGTGGAGGAGGACGCGGACGGGTGCCGCAGAGAGTCAGAAAGCACAAGCCTGCGCCGTGGTTCGGGTGGTTCAGTGAGCGTCCTCTGGCTTGAGGAAGATTGCAGGTTCCATTCCCGGTCAGGGCACATGCAATAAAGAACAAATGAATGCATAAATAAGTGTAAAACCAAATCAATCTCGATCTGAACCCCCATCTCTCTAAAACTAATAAACAGGTCCTGATCACTGTGGCTCAGTTGGTTGGGGTGTTTTCTCCTAACTGAAAGGTTGAGGGCTCAATGCAAGGTCAGGGCACACACCTAGATTGCCAGTTTAATCCCCGGTCAGGGTGCGTACTGGAGGCAACCAACTGATGCTTCTCTCTCACATTGATTTTTTTCTCTCTCTCCCTTCCTCTCTCTCTAAAAGCAATGGAAAAATTTCCTCGGGCAAGGATAAAAAATAAAAATAAATCCAATCGATAAACAAGTAAAAAAAAAATTAATTAAAGGGAAAGAAAGAACAGGAAGGAAGGAAGGAAGGAAAGAAGGAAGGAAGGAAGCATGGCCCTTCAGTAAGGACCAGCGCGGGCAGGGCAGGTATCTTGTGGGAGTCGGATAGAGAAATGGCCCCTAAACCAGAGCGCCTGACAGTGGTGGGGGAGGAGGTGCGGCCCTGCAACCCACGGGTGGAAGGAAGCCAGCTCCCGGCAGGGTCCTTCCCTTGGCACAACCAGTTGGGAGGTTATTTGACACTGTTTATCAGGAGCCCTAGAAATGTGCATACTCTTTAACCCACTCACCCTCTTCGGGGAATTGAGTCATTTGCAAAACACAGTATCTTAGGCTGTCATCACCTCCCTGCTTAAAACCTCATGATACCCCAGTCACTTAGGAGGAAATTTAAATTTTGGTAGTCTGTTTTCCTCCTGCCCCACCCTTTTTTTTTTTTTTTTTTTTTTTTTTTTTTTTAGAGCCCCATCTGTGAAGCAATTATAACAATAGAACCTACCTCAGGTGGCTGGCAAGACTGTATTGTGTATATGTGAGTAGTTAGTGTGCAGTTTTATCTCCCACCGCTTGAGGGTAACTTGTGCTTATTGCAAAACAGGCCCTCTCCCTGCTCCTCCCACCTACCATTCCCTCTGCCTGAGATGCCCTTTCTCTTCTGTGGGCTTGATTAACTCTCAGTCAGTTTTTGGACTGGACTCTGGGTTTTCTTTCCTTCTTTCTCTTTCTCTTTCCTTTCTTCTCTTTTATTTTTTTAACTTCATGATTTTATTTGAGCCAAACTGATGACATGGAGCAAGATTTCAAATGCTCCCTAGATTAGCTTTCTAAGGGAAGCTTGCTTTGTCCACCCCCACTTCACCTCCCAGCTCCAGTAACTACCCCATTAGGCACTGACCCTCCTGCTGTGTAATCCTTGTTGATTACTTAGCCCCACTACTAGGCATTTAGTGAGAAGCAGAGTTAACAGTAAGTTACTGATATTGATAATACATACACTAGAGACTTTTAGATGATTAATGCATATTTAATCTTCACAACGATCTGTATGGTATAGGTAGCATGATTGGTCACAGGAAACAGACACAGGAAAATGAGATAATTTACCTAAGCTCACAAAGCTGGTACCTAGTAGAGCTAGGATTCAAACCGTAGTGAATTTAGTGAATGCAGTGGGCGCACATGAAACCTCTATGACATGTTGCCTCTCCAAGGTGGAGTGAAGTGCCTCAGCTTTGGAGCTGGGAAACTCGGGCCCAAACCCTAACTCAACTCCCTACATGTAGCTTCAAACCATTTAGAGCTTCAAATTTCTCAACTGTGAAGAGATAATACCGTTCCTTGGAATGATTGTGAAGATTGTAATACATGCAAAGCGTATCTTTTTAAATTGAATTTATTGGGATGATACTGGTTAACAAAATTATACAGGTTCCAAGTTCAAAATTCCACAACATATCTGTATACTGTATTGTGTAAGCAGGTCTTTAACAATGAGATATTTAGCCCTCATTATTTGCAAATGGATAAATAGTGGGGATACAGGAAGCAGAGTAAAAAGACACAACATATTCACTGAAGCGTGATAAGCGTATTCTAGAAAACAACTGTATTCTAAATTTATTCTAGAAGTCCAATAATAAAAGAAAGATTAGATTGTGTGGTACTGCCTCTTTGACCTACTTCCAAGTAAGTACCTTGCAGAAATGTACATACACATGATACACAAACAAGGATGTCCATAGCAAACACTGGAGACAACTTAAATGTTCAAACAGAGTGATGGCTGCTGTCGGTTCAGATGTGTCCTCCTGTGGAAAGTTATGCATCCTGCCCTGGCTGGTGTGACTGAGTGGATTGGGTGCCAGCCGAAAGGTTGCCAGTTTGATTACCGGTCAGGGCACATGCCTGGGTTGCTTTTGAGAGCCAGATAGGTATTTTTTCAAATCACATGGATGCTTTGTTCCTTTCCTTCCCTTCCCTCTAAAAATAAATAAAGTCTTTTTTTTCCCCCTAAAAGAAAGTTATGTATCCTTTAACATAACTAAGGAGGCTATGATTTACCAAGGGAAATTGTTCATAAGAAACAAAGTGAAAAAAGAAAATATTTGTATTACATAAAGATCTGCTCTGCTACAGACAATAATATCTTGAGGAGGAGGGGAACATTCACTTTATACTCTTCAGTATTATGTCAAACTTGTGTTACTTTTATCATTTAAAAAAATATTGTAAGAACTTCGAACCCCACTTTTGGGGAAAAAAGTTGTAAGACCAGTAAAAGTGAGGATTATACTCTTTAGCAACTTAGACTTTTCTACATCCAGTTCACTTAAATATAAATTCAGCTCTGGCTGGTGTGGCTCAATGGACTGAGCAGAGGCCTGTGAACTGAGAGGTCGCTGGTTTGATTCCAGGCTGGGGCACATGCCTGGGGTGCAGGCCAGGTCCTGGCCCCTGGTTGGGGGCGTGCAGGAGAGAGCCACCTGATGTTTCTCTTGCGCATCAATGGTTCTCTCACTCTCTTTCTCCCTCCCATCTCCTCTCTCTGAAAATAAACAAAATCTTTTTTAAAACTTCAAAATTATCTATACTACTCTGAAAAATACATGTGTGGGAAGGCAGTTGAAAAGGATTATGAAACATGAAATGTTTCCCTTTTATGTTTCCTTTAATGTTGTTACAGGGAATACACAACACAAATTGGGAGGAAGAGGAAATCCCTTGGTGGTGGTACTGTTATTTATTTATTTATTTATTTATTTATTTATTTAACTGGCAAGATTGACCCAGAGAGCAGCTCGGCTGCCCCTCTCTCCTCCACCCCATGTCAGTCATTTATTGCCACCTGCCTCAGACACAGGTGGATTCTAAGTCAGGTGTGCGTGTTCTCATTGTCTACACAGAAGGCAGAAGGAGGCGTGGTCTCTGGCCCCAAACTCCCATCCTGCAGCCGTTTATTCTCAACCCCCACGTTAGCTACCCACAGTGGCGGAGCCCTTCCAGGGTGTATGGCAGGGGAACTAAAGCCAACAGGCCAGACCTGGCCCGGCCCGATCTCTCAGGTCCGTGAGCCAAGGATGGTTTTTACATTTGAATAAATTGTTATATGGTTTTATAAGCACCTATACAATGTCTTCGATTTTATCTTCTGGAACCACGAAACCGAAATTACTCACTAGCTTGTTCTTTAGGAAAAACTTGGCCGACCCTTTCTCTCTGCTCCTTCCCCAACTTCAGCCAGGAGCAGAAGAGACAGCCTAGGACCTGCGTGAACTCTCGTGGGGAGCGCGGGGCAGCAGCGGCCCGCACCTCCTCCCGGAGCCCGGGCTGAGCTCCCGGGCGGAGTTCTGCGTGGCCCAGGTTCCCGCGGGCTGCGTCAGAGCCCAGCGGCGGGCGGGGTGGCGCGGCGGGCGCGGCGGGGACAGCCGCAGCGCTGGCGCAGGCAGAAGTGCCAGACCAGGGCGCCGCAGCTCAGCAGGGCCAGCGCTGTTCCCACCCCGACGGCCGCGTGGACCAGGCTGCGGGGCCGGGGCGGCACGGCCACCCGGCCGCACGGCCCGAAGGGGGGCATGTCCGCACCCTCGGGGCCCGCGTCATTCGCCCAGGGCACGCTGCTTATACCCGCTGCGTTAGCGGCCACCACGCAAATGACATAAGCGCCCCCGGGCTTCAGTCCCTTCAGTTCTGCTCGGCGGACGGTCGAGTTGAAGGCGGGACTCTTCTGGGGAGCCCCGCTGCCTTCCCAAAGCAGCAGCCAGTACTCGTGGACCGGGGAGGAGGGGGCACACCAGTGCACCACCGCGCTGCCGTCCTCGGCCACCACGTGCACTTCTCCCAGGCGCGGCGGGGCGGGTGGCTCCGCGGGGCTGGAGAGCCCGGGGCACAGGCAGGCCGTCAGGCCCGCCCGCTGCAGCTCTTTGCACGGAACCTGTAGGTGCCGGCAATGGTCATAGTCACAAAGGACATCCGACAACCGCGGTTTCTCATCTTCCTCTTCTTCGTCAAAGTCTTGCGGGGGCAAGTGCTGCGCTCTGGGGACCAAGGAGAAGGTGACAGCCAGGAGCCACACAAAGCAGGGAAAGCCCAGCATGGAGTCTGAAAAGGGAAGGGGGCCGATCAGTCCTGGCTGCTCAGCCCCCCTGCTGTCTAGGCCCCCAGCCTCAACAAAACCCCTGGGGACAAGGGAAGGCTCCTGGGGACTGAGAGGACAGGAAAGGGAAGGGAATGAGACAGACACACTCCTTTGTCAACCAGTTTCTGAACAGCTTACATGCTAGGTTTCGAGCAAAAAAGAACAAAATATGGTCGAACAGAAGACAGATGTGTGACCAATGAGGGAGGAAGTAGTAGAAACAGTTAATTAATAAACCAAGTGCTCCGGGGAGAAGAGGAGGAAAATGTTTACTCAGCCAAGGGAAGAAAAGCACAGTAATTCCCCGGCTGCTATGCAGAGAAAAGAGCTAAGTAAAACAAGTTACCAGTCAACGACACACGCAAACACCCAGAAATGAGTTGGAAGAGAAAGGATAGATGGAACAGAAGCAGGAAATAGGGACCTCACAGCCCACCTGCCCCAGGAGACCTGACCCTTGCCTGTGTCCCACCTACCCCGATCCTCCCGGCTGCCCACCGGCAGCCTCTCACCAGTGTGCGGGCCTTGGAATTTGCCGCCAGACCTCTGCGAATTTCAGGCCCAGGGGGTCGCCAGGAGCATAGGCTGCGCAGTCAGGTTTTGCGTCTTCGACTTCAATTCTGTTTTGCCTCGAAACTTTTAAATGCTTCAACTGTGATGTCACTACCTAGTCCCCATCCCTCTGCCCCCCTTTCCTGTTGAGTACCAAGAAAGAGGGCTGGTCCCTTCAGAGGGCCTGAGTCACAGAGCCAGGAACGGGGTGGGGGGAGCCACACACTTTGGTGTCAGCTGGAAGCCAGGATGCCTGGGTTCTGAAAGGGGACTGGAATGTGGAAAGCAGCCAGGAACTGAGAAACTGAAGGCTACAGTCATGTGAAGAGAGGAGAAAGGAAGCGAGGGAGGGGGCCACCTGGCTGGTATCAGACAGGGAAACAGCTGTGGATGGCATGTGGCTTGGGCTACAAAATGCTGTTTCGGTAAAAAGTCATACCACTTCCATGGCTGTAATTTCCTGTCTTCTGCCTCCCAATGGACACGAAGGGAGGGGTGCAGAGGCCCGAATGATGCAGCCCAGCTCGCCAGACCCGCCCTACACGATCCCCCTCCCCAGAGGGAAATGAGGGAGTCACGTGGATGGAATCCGCCAGAGAGGTTTTCTCTCCCCGCACTTCCGAGGCTCCTGAACGAAAACAGCTGTCCCTAAAACAGCCCCGGGTCGGAGGCCTTCTCCATCTTGCCGCCAGAAGACAACCCCTGCCAACCAGGGGTGGGGGATGCCTGGGGAATACAAGGTATTCCAATGGCCCCGAACCGATTTCAAAGAGTCCAGGAAGAGTCAGGGAAGTAGCTGGCAAGAATATAGTTTATTGGGGAAGCCACAGAAAAAGGAGGAAGGGTCAGGTGGAGAGGGTCGGAGTGTGGGTCTCTGCCCTGTTCTCCTCAGGAACTGGAGCAGGTCGGGTGCCGCCGGTAAGGGCCCACCGAGGGTTCAGAGCTGCCCAGAGTCTCCGGGGCCAGGGCCGGGGCGGAAGCGGGCAGGTTGGCCTCGGTCAGCAGAGCCGCATCTTCCCAGGAGCCTGAACCTGGGCCAGAGGAGGAAGAAACATAATTCCAAATGGGAAATGAGACGGCCAGGGGCCCCTCTCCCACCCAATGTGGCCTCCTCTCTACCCTCACTCCCGCCCACCCAGGTCCCTACCGGGGTGTCCCTCACCATCACTGGCCTCGGGCTCTAGTTCTTCCTCTCCGCTCAGGGGCTGCTGATCTGGTTTTTCCTCCTCAGACAGTTGACCCTCTGCAGCCACAGGGGGAAATGCAGGGGTCAGGCTGAAGGAGGTGAAAGGGGAGGGCTGGGAGGCAGGAGGAAGGGATGGGGGATGGCTGAGCACCATACCTATCCCTGAGGGATCTTCAGGGCTCTCACCGTCCTCTGTGACGTCTGACAGCTGGGTTGACTCCTCCTGGCCTTGGGAGAGAGGGCAGGACAGGGCCAAGATGGTTGCGCCTGGACGGCAGTGCCTCTCCTTCGGCCCTCTGCTCAGTGTGCGCCTTAAGCCTCACACAGGATGGGGCAGGCCCCCTGCCGCCCAGCCCCTAACCACCACGGTTACCTAGCTGCCGGGCGGAGATCCTTCCCTGGACTTCCTTCCGGGAACCGTCCCTTTTGCGGATGTTTACCTGTGGAGGAGAAACTGCTCAGCAGTGAGAACTGGCTTCCCCTGCCAGTGTTCAGGGCCCTCACACCTGGGGCCCTGGCCCATCCCCAGTCACACAAGAGTCATAAAGGGGAGAGGAAAGGGGTCCTTGGCCACCTGCAAAGCGAAGCGGTGTCGGGGCCAGATGCCTCCCCACACCCACTGCATGTAGCTGAAGAGCACGATGACACTGAGGAAGGTGAAGTTGCTGGCGACTCCTATGAAGGCGCAGGTCATGGGGAAGTTGTACAGCAGGTACCTGAGGCAGGGGGTAGGGACAGAAAGGTAGCAGTTATGGGCACCAGCCTTCTCCTAAGACAGCAGTGCTCAACTCTGGCTGCACATCAGCACGCCCCAGGGTGCTTTCAAAAAGTCTCGTGTCACCCTGGCTGGGGCGGCTCAGTTGGCTGGAGTGGCGTCCCATACACCAGACGGACATGGGTTCGATTCCCGGTCGAGGCACATGCCTAGGTTGCAGGTTCGGTCCCGTCAGGGCCCCTACAAGAGGCAACCAATCGATGTTTCTCCCCCACCTTCCCCTCTCTCTAAAAATCAATTAAGCACATCCTTGGGTAAGGATTAAAAACATAATAGTAAGACTGATGGCCAGAGGTGAGCCTAACAGATCCTGGTTCACTTGGTCTGGTGGACTGGCTCAGGCATTGGTGTTTTTTAAAAGTTCCCCAGGAAACAAATGAATGAACAAAACAAAACAAAAGCAAATTCATAGAGGCAGACAACAGACCAGTGGTTCCCAGAGGGGAGGGGGCTGGTGGGAGGGTGAGGGGGTAGAGGGCTCAGCTGTATGGCGATGGGTAGAAAATGGCTTTCGGTGGTGAGCATGCTGTAGAATACCCGGTTGGTGAATTATAATGTTGTGTACTTCAAATGTTAGAGACCAGTGTTATAAGAAAGGGAGAGAAGCGGGGAGAGAAAAAAGGTTCCCAGGAAAACTGGAATGTGCAGCCTGGGTTGAGAACCTGTGGCCCGTGTAAAACCTGTCACCTTTGCTTGGGACCCTCTTCACTTAAGGGCAGCCCCTCCCACCCCCCCAAGCCTGCGAGGCTTGCTTCCGGGGTTCCTCACCTGAGCCCAGAGAAGTGGGCGTGGATGCGGAGGTAGGCTCCGTAGAGCTGGATACGTTTGCTGTGCACTTCGATAATTGCTCCGGTGGTCGGCACATACTGCGGGGGTCGGGGTGGAGGGTGGTAGCTGCATCAGGCCAGGGTCCTGCCCGCCGGCAGCGGGAGGCCCGCTTCCAGCCTCTCTGTTGCTGTCCCTCCTCACTAAGCCCAGAGCTCCTCCGGTGGAATTCTGGGCTAATGGGGAGGGCCGGCTCCTAGTCTTCCTTCACCCCCTTACCGAGTTTTCTCTGTATTCTGGGTACAGCTCCACCTCCAGGAGCTGCTTCTGCTCTGCAAACCCAAATAGCAGCAGGCTAGAGAAGACCAGTGTGTCGAGCATCTGCAGCAGGTCTGAGCGGTAATGCAGCATCACCTGCCAGGGCCCAGAGTGAGAGGCTGTGGTGAGGCACCCCCAGGTTGTCACAGGCCTATCCAACCCTCCGTCACCCCTGAGCAGTCTACGAAGGCTGCTCCTTCCTCAGGTTTGCTGCTCCCTTGCTTTCACCTTCTACCACCGCCCGCCCTGGTCTTGACCCAATCACTCTGAATGCTTGAGGGGCAGCCCTGCCCTGCCCTACGCAGCCACGTCTCCACTCCGGTACAACGGAGGCCCCTCTTCTAAGAACCTTCCTAGGTTAAGCCTAGCACTGTCTCTGATCTATTTTCCCCCTAACAGTTCTATAATCCAGAATAGACTAAGTCCCAGGGCACCACCTGAGGCTTTGTTTCCTACGTACACACTTAGGGATTTGCTTCTTGATGTTGCTCTGTTGACAATTAAGAATGGCGTCTTCATGATTACTCAACACCTGCTATGTGCTAATAAGCACTTTAGATTTTTTCATTGACTCCAAACTAGTCTTCCAGTGAGCAGTCACCATAATACGGTTTATAACACTTAAAAACGAATGGGGTTAAGTTAGTTGCCCCGCAGCTAGGTACGTTTCTGAGTAAGAATTTGAGCCCAAGTTTGTCTGGCTCTAAAGCAGCGCATTTTCAGAGCAGTTCTGCTCCTCACATTCGAACCCAAAGCTGGACAATGCCACCAGCCATCTGGGGGTGTCTGTCTGATTTGGTAAACTGACTCCCCTCCCCTGCTCTGCTCCACCTGTGACCTTACAGCGAGGATGTTTTCCCCTGAAGGCCCACCCCCGTGTCCTAACATCTGTCATCTTTCTCCACATCCTCCCACAGGCCACGAACACTTACAGAGCGTGAGGAAGTGGAGATGATTCGTCCGCCTCGGGTGTAGCACGAAATGGTGACCAAGAACATGCCCAAACCTTGATTCACAGGGGACTCTGGCAGCTCAAGCTCTAAGGTAACGCGGTACGGCTGCCCATACATCAGCACCTGCCCAAGGAAGCCACATCTCTCTTCAGAAATACTTTTATGTTACCTTATCTTTCTTACTTGTCTGAAGGTGAGTGACAGCAAAAAATACGTGTTTTTAAATTGTACTGCCTCTCTTCCGCCTCCCCACTCCCCCTCCAAATACTTGGCGGCTGACAACCCCCTTGGTTGGCATTAACAGGCCTCTCCCTCTCTTGTCCCAAGAAGGTGCTGCCCCCTTCTGGTGGCTGGGTCCTTCCCACTTCTGGGACTCGAGATCAGAATTAGGTTCTCTTGCTACTCTATTCTAAGAAAGGCTGCGCCAGATTTCTTCCAGAAGTGAACCATCCTGTTGCCAACTGGGCCATCTGTGTGTGACTCAGTCCTGTCCCCGGGAGGCGGTCCCCCCAGGCCCAGCCTGCCTTCACTTACTTTCTTAATTAACCGAGTGCCAGAGGCCTCCCCATCTCCCTAGCCAGCTCTGGCGCAGCCGTTGTCGCTCCAGACGCACTTGTCATTATGGGTCCCTTATCTTGGCTCTGTTGGTAGAACCCTGAGACTCATAATGAGATTTCTTCTCTGAGATTAACCTCAAAGTGTTAAAGACTGGCCAGCACACATATCCTAGTTTTTCCTGACCATTCCCATACTCCTCTAATTCTGTCGCAACTATTTTCCTATATCATGACCCCCTCAGGGTGACATATAAGAATCACAGGGGTGGTGGTAAACCCCCCCCCTTTTTTTTTTGCTATTGCAACAGATTCTTAAAATTATTCCTGTTTATTCTATTACAGTTGTCCCAATTCTTCTCCCTCCCAGCCACGCCCCGCTCCCACAGTCAGTCCCCACACCGCTGTTCATGTCCGTGGGTCATTCCTACATTTTGTTTTTAACCGAAGAGAGAATGGATTTTTTTTTTTTTTTTTTTAAGAAAAAGGCTGAAAATCATTGCCCTAGCCCACAGTGAACCAGCTCCAAAAGCTGGACATGGCTATTAGGGTC